TCCAGCATCTGCTCCTTCGTGTGCTTCCAGTTGGAACCAGTCCCGGCACAGAGCAGCCTAAGGGCCTCACGTGGCCCTGCTGCATCACCCAGGTGGAAGTGGCGGAAGCAGTGCGCATATATATATGGTGTGTGTGTGTGAGAGAGATCTAAATGAAATCACCGAGTAATGGAGGAGCAGAGCCCCAACTGGATCTCTATCTCTCTCCTCACTAAACAAAGCTTCCAGTACCAGGAATGGCTTACATCTAATCAAGTTGTTGGCCAAAGGGGCCCCATGGGAACCCCCAAACAACCTAGGCTATTTGCCAAGGTTATTTGTTGCTCTCACAAACTGATAGTTTTAAGCCCTACTGCTCAAGCCTAACACCTACACACCTCACTGAACACCAACAGAGAAGTTAAGCTGGTGCCTCCCCAGTGCCTTTACCTCTGCGACTGGTGTTCACAGCACTGGGAGGTAACTGCACCATGCCAAAGGAGAAAGGTAAACAAGCCAGCTACAAACACTTCCATCTGCAAGATGCATGGTTGCAACAGTGACACAAAAGTAACCTACCACAATCTGACTGGATTTAAGGTCTATTCCATGAGATGAAATCTATTCCTGACGCTGCTTAGGTGACCAAGAAGCTGAAACTAGACCCCAGTGACCTAGGGGAAAACCAGATAAATACTACTGTTCTGCTAAAAGAACCCAGCAAAAAATAACTCCTAACCTAATGGCATTCTGTTATAGCCACAGGTCGGTGCTTGGCTCAGCCATCAGAGAAGCTTACTCCTGAAGCAGGGTAAGAAGCCTTGGAACACTTAGTCCTAGGCAGGATGATGTCTCCATCAAATCCCTCCCCTCAGGGCTCAGGGAATTTTGTAGAAGGGGTGGTAGAAAAACTATAGGGGACAGAGGGGGATGAAAGCCACCAAGGAAACAGTGCCTTCCATATACAACAGGACTGACAGACATGAACTCAGAGACTGTGGCAGCATGTACAGGGCCTGCATGGGTCTGCACCAGATGCCGTCCCTGAACTGAGAGTGAACACATGCCTCCATTCCTAACACAGAGGCTATCTCCAAATGATCACCACTTGGAAATTAAAAATTAGTTTTCTCCAACAGTCCCTCTGGGTATACAAACTAACCTTAAGGGCAGGCCCCATATCCAGCAACAGAAAACAAACTCACTGGGATTTTGGAGGCTGTCTCATAATGTTTCATCAGGACATCTTTAAAATTTATTTTTATTTTATTCATTTTTATTTTTTTAACCCTATAGGTCCTTTGCCTATGTTTTTTATGAGATTCTTTTGTGTCTGTCTCTTGTGCTTGTTTTCGGTTCTTTGTCTTGTGTTTGTTTTGTCCTGTCCTGATTTCTTTTTGTTTCATCTTACTACTATTCTTCAGACGCCTGTTGGTTTTCTAAGGAGACAGCAAGAGCACGGACTGGATGGGAGGGGGCTGGGGAGGGCCTGGGAGGAGTTGGAGAAAGTGTAGGGTGAGAAGTCCAAACTCACTTCAGGGTTTTGAGACTCCACTAATCCCTGAGCCCACCCTGAAATCGCATCAATCCTCACACTAGAAAGCTCTGCACCCACAAAAACACAGAGTATAAAGTCTGCCTCCTACTCAGCTCTTTGCTGTCTCTGGCCAGTCCGAGCAGAGCAGCCTCAGCACCCTGTGTCTCTCCCAATAAATCTCCTTTGTGAGGATTGTTATGCGGTGTAACTCTGTGGTATTCCTTGGCTCCCGACTTCCAGGATATCTTTAGCTTCCAGGATATCAACACCCGCATTGGGGAAACATTTTCCCTCAGAGCTGTAACACTTATAGAAGGGAAACCATAATCAAAATATATCGCATGGAAAAAAATCTATTTTCAATAAAAGAAAAAACAGGAAAAAAAGAAATGTTATTAAAATTCAAATAAAAGAAACAAAAAACAACAGAACACCCCCCTCTCTTATAGCAGACCACACTTAAATCCTGGCCTTGTCCCTCCCTGGTGCTACCCTGGCCAGGCAGACTCTCCTTGCTAGCTTCCTTGTGGCTATTAAACTAAGAAAATACAAGAAAGTGCCACATTAGCAATTAGCCCTAAGATACACCCACTAGTGCAACAGCGGTGTGACAGTTTCAAGGGTAACCCACGGTTTCTGATTGGCTTTGAGGCCCACCCCTCAGGAGGGAATTCCTACCCATTACTATAAAAAAACTAATCAAAAGCCTGTGGCTGGAAATGTCACAGGCCCTCGTGAGGAAGCTACTGCTGTTGTACACAGGCATGATGTGTCTGTCACACTGCCTTCTAAATATTTATGCTTATGCCCGTACAGCTTGGTTCTGCTGTCAGCTTTGGTCAGAGAAGCTTCTTTTTTGCAATGAGCCATTACTACAGACAGTCATAGCTAGTCAACGTGGTAAGGGCAAGTGGTGTCTTAATGTTAGCCCTAAGTGGGACATCTGTATCACTCTCTCCAAGGCTCAGAGTAGAGTGAATTGGAGAGGGAAGAAAACATGCAAGACAGAGAGAGACGGAGTGTTGTAGAACACCTGCCAGTTGCACTCCTGAACTCTCAACAGCTACAATTACCCTCAAATCTGGGCCTATCAACATACTCTCAGAGGTCAGAGGGTCAAGAGTCCCTGAGACACCAGGAGGAGCCAGTTAACAGTTGCTTCAGGGGAGGGCTCCTAAGGTGCACAGGCATTTAACATTTTCTCCAGTCTACACTCATATAAATAAGCCCTCACCCATGCCCAGGAAAAAAAACCTCATTAACTCATAGGGCTGGGGTGGGGGTGGGGGCACAAAAGAGAGACAAATTGAGAAGAGGAATGGCACCAGGGGAGTGACGAGAGGACAAGAGGGTTATGAGGGTCGTGTAAATGTGATCAAGATTTTACATATATATATGTGTGTGTGTGTGTGCGTGTGAGATGGGATCCACTATTAACATAGGTAATGTATGCTAATAAAAATATTTAAATGGGGGGAGGGGCTTGAGAGCTGCTTAGCTGTTAAAAGCATTCATTGCTCTTCCATCAGACCTGTTCTCCGGACCCAGACTGGGTACTTACAACTGGCTATAACTCCAATACTGGGGGAATCTGACTGTCTTCTAGCCTCTTGGGACACCCAAACGTGTCACACATACTCAGAAACACACACACACAAATTTTAAAGACCTCTTAAAAGACTTTAAAGTAACCACAGGAAGGACTCTCAGAGGAGCCTGGCCTGTTGATGTGGGTACCATCTGTTCTGACTGCTTACTACCTGATTACTAAAGAAGGGAAGAAGCAAAGAAGTGGAACGGGGCTGAGGCTCCTGAGCTCCTTAGCTCACCTGGGGATGCCTCCTCTGGGAGCTGCAAGGCCTCTGCCAAGGAGGCTTCCTCTCAGAGCTGTGGTTCCTGGGCTCCAGTGTCTCCGGATGCCCTCCCACTGGGATACTCTCTCCCCTCAAAGTAGTGTGGTCACTGGGCCTTCGAGTCCCAGGATGCCCTTCCATTGAGATACCTTCTCTAGAGATGTGTGGTTTCTGGACTTCCCAGTCCCAGGATGTTCTTCTATCTCAGCAGAACACTTACAATTTCTGCAGGATTCCACCCAGTATCTGACTTTCTTTTCTTTCAAATGGCCCGGGCTGGTCTCTCACTCACTAAGCTGCCTAGGATAACCTTGAACTTCTGACCTTCCTGTTCCCACCTTTCAAATGCTAAGATCATAGGTAAGTATTACCAGGCCAGCTCTTCTTTCTTTAAGAGGACACTAATCCTAAGACTGAGGGCTCTACTCCATGACCCTATAACGTTCTCCTACAGACACTTTGGGGGCTAGGGTTACAGGACTTCGGGGGGGGAGGGGCAGACAGAAGCTCTGCAGTAGCAACTACCAAACTATGTTTGAGAGCTGGCAAATGTGGCCAACTGCCAAGTGCTCCCCAGCACCTATGTGCATGTGTTTCCCTCGTAAAACCTCCAAGCCACAAGAAAGCCAGCTGTCCTTCCTCTTCAAGACAGATGGTGGACGAGGATATGGCTCTAAACCTGTAAGGTGGCTTGACTCCCAGGGGATAGGTGGAAAATCCTGAAGACATTCTGATTGTCAGACAGGAGGTAGAGTGAACAAAGCTGCTTGTGGCTGAAGGGTTCAGCTGAAGACTCTGGGACATTCTCTACACGTAGTCACCAGGCATCATGCATTAGCTGCACCAAGGATGAGACACTGGCCTGGAACCACCGTCCTCAGAGAGCCTGAAGACTCAAAAGGTCCTGTCAAAAATGCTAAGACAGGAGTATTGTTTCCGTGGTAACACTATGTCTAAGGTTAGAAGCCCTTGGTTTCTTAAGTCAAAGCAAAGAACCTCCTACAGATGTGGCACTCTGAGCTTGCTAACTAACACACAGGAAGACACTCCACCCCATCTTCACCATAGCTTGGGATCAGGATGCAAAACGTTAGTTTATGGTCTTGTCCCCTCCAAGTTATGCATGAACTCTCTACAGCCTGGCACTGGCTTGGCTTCTATCTCTTCCAATCTCTCCTGGAGTCTTTACATTGAAGCTCCATGGGCTTCCTGTCCATTAAAAGGCTACATCCTACCTCTGACACTAGAAACATAGCGGAACTACCAGGGGCTATTGAGGTCATGGATCTTGGCGGAGAACTTTCCACCTGCAGTTTGCTGAATCAGCAAAGACAGAAAAGCACAACTATCATGATAAGAGAGATCAACGGACCGTGGGGAGTTCAACCCCTAAAGATACATTTACAACACAACTCTTGCACCCAAGGCTCAGGGAACATTGAAGAAAAAGCAGCAGAAAGACTGCAAGAGCCAGAAATCAGGAACTCTAACAGGGAACCTACACCCACAACACCCCAACAGCACAGCTGCCAAAACAAGGCCTGAACAGTGACCAAAATCAACAGATACACTGAGAAGGAATCCTACCCCTAGGCAAGTAATGACTGGGGGGGTAGGGGGGGATGGGATGAGAATATTAGCCTCTCTCAGGGATGAGACCCCTAATGGGCTTCTCAATACCGAACAGCCAGCCTTGAATTCATTCACATCCAAGCAACACTAAATGCACTGAGTATATTGTACTGATGCATCATGTGTGTGTATATTTACTTTTTTTCAAAGAAAAAGAGCTCATCGGTTTGGGAGGCAGTGTAGGGGAATAAATATACAAGGGATTGGGGTAGCAGGGTGGGTATTTATATTAAAATTAAATTATATTTATATATAATTATAAATTTCATGTTTATAATTAAAATTGTATCTTAATTTGGGAGTGGGGGTTGAGACAGGGCTTCTGTGAGTAGCCCTGGCTGACCAGAATGTCCTTGAATTTAAGAGATTTGCTTGCCTCCATCTCCCAAGTGCTGGGATGAAAGGCATGAGCCACCACTGCCTGGCTTTTAATTTTTTAATAAAGTTGCTGAGAGCTAAACTAACTGAACACAGCTAGAGGATCAAGTGACACGGTACGCAGTAAAGAAGTAATTAAAGGAAAAAATAACCCACCACCATTTTACATTACTTTTGTTTTTGTTTTTCGAGACAGGGTTTCTCTGTGTAGCCCTGGCTGTCCTGGAACTCACTCTGTAGACCAGGCTGGCCTCGAACTCAGAAATCCGCCTGCCTCTGCCTCCCAAGTGCTGGAATTAAAGGCGTGCGCCACCACTGCCCGGCCCCATTTTACATAACTGTTGATGATCTGGCAGCTGAAATCGCATCAAAAAGCAGAGCCCAGCACCTGATGTCATAAAGAAGGGACTCCTACAAAGACCAGGAACATGCCAGGAGCCAGCCAGTGAGATGGCTCAGTGGGTAAAGGCACTTTCCTCCATGCCTAAGGACCTGAGTTTGAGTCCCAGAACCCCCACTGTGACAGCAAAGAACTGACTCATTCAAGCTGTCCTTTGTCCCATATAAATATGTATATAATGTGTATATGAGACACACACACATATATGCACTATGGCATGTTCACGTCAGCTCCTCCTCACCCCACATAAACACACAAAATAAATGAAAGTTTAAAAAAGAAAAGCAAGTCTTTCTCAGCATGCTTATCTTTTAAAAAACAAAACAAAATTGGAGTCAGAGACTGTATCTTTGCCACTATAAGGGTATGTGGGTGATGGGACTAGTTATCAGGGTTGGAGAGATGGGTCAGCTGTTAAGAGCACTGGCTGTTCTTCCACAGAACCCTCCTTTGAGGCAAGACCCAATTCCTGCAATAAAGAGAAAATTCAGTTTTATGACCTGAAGTGGCCAGCCTAGAGCCATATGGAAGAGAAGACCCACCTGTAGATGAGGTAAGAGAATGGAAGTAACAATGAGATATGTATTTTGTATCCCTCAGAAGTCTCACCCTAGACAGTGGCCTGCAGACACACTGGGCCTTGCAGGTGGGTTCGAGATATAGACAATTCAAAAGGACGGCTACTGTCAAAGGTTAAGATGGAAAAAACCTCCGAAAGCTCATGTTCAGGTACTGGCCTTCAGGGGCCAGATCAAAAAATAACACAGCACTGGCCCGGAAATGGGTGGTGAAGATCACAAGCTGCTTGTAACCTACTGCAGGGCTGAGGCTGAAGGGGTGGCAGGGGCTTAAAAGTGGCTGGCCGGAAAAGTAGAGGCTGGTGAGATAAACAATTAGCTAATCCTTCCCCACACAGAGATAAACAAAACTAACAGTCCATTAGGGTACTGGCTAAAAAGTTACTAGTTACTAACATTGACTACTTAGTAACTAGCTACTGACACTAGTCTTTCTATGCCACACATCCTGAGTTCCAGGCCACAGAGAGTAACTCTTAGCTGACAAACCAGTTAAACTAAATGCTACAAAAGTTAACTATTTCCTCCTTACTTGGCTCCAAAAGGATGGGCAGTTGATTTCTTGCCCAAGGTCCAAGTTACCATGGGAGGAAGAAAGTTCTGTGTCCCACTTCAATAATCTCTGACTTTTTTTCTGCTTTTTTACTTCTCTAAGCTGTTCATTTTTGGAAGGGTTGAGAACTCAAGCGCACTCCATGCATAGTGCCTGTGGAGGCCGGAGGTTGAGGTTAGGGTATCTTTACCTTCCTTTTTTAAGTCTATTATTGAACCTGAAGCCCGCTGTTTCAACTGGGATGAGAAGCCAGTGAACACACACTGAGATGCCCTTGTGCTCAACCTTTTCCTGAGTAAGGACGGTACTCAGCTTGTACTTTAGCCCACAGAGCCATCTCCCCAGCATCTGTTTTTGGTTTATTTTCTTTTTACTTTTATTCTATTAAATGCGTAACTTTCAGTGCCCCCCTCTTCTACCTCTCTCCCTTATACTTTTACCCAGATGTTCATTGTCTCTAACGCCATCAATAGTCCTTGAAAGGGGCAGGAATCTGCACTGGGCACTCTGTGCCCTCAGCTATACAACCCACCAAATATTTACTCAGAGGACAAGGGCTTAGGAATTAGAACAAATTCCAGCTGGCTACCAGCAATGTGACCTTGATCCAGAACAACTGCTCCTTTCAAACACTAATCTCCATTTCCTTGGCTGTAAAATGGGAGCAACAATCCAGGCTGGAAAGTCGAGTAAAAATAAAGAGCACAAAAGTCCCCCAGAACACGGTTGGAGAGATGGCTCAGCAGTTAAGAGTACTAACTACTGCTTTTCCAGAGGACCTGGGTTCTCCCAGCACCCATATGGCACCTCACAACTGAAACTCCAGAACCAGAGGATTCAACCAACACACATTCAGGCAAAACAAGGATGCACGTTAAAATAAAAATGAATCATAAAAAAAAAAAGTACCCAGACCAGCACCTGGCAATAAACAAACTCCACTCATTGTATTACCACTAACACAAGTTTACCCTCAAACTCCTTGTGAGTCGTTTACGTGAAACAAACGCCCAAGACTAAATCATAAATTAGAACAGGTGTTAAACTAGCATATAAAAAGGAGTGAAGATGAGTATTGTGGTGATTTTTTTTTAAATTCAATTACTTTGTCAGGTTTAAGGTTGGTATGGCTCTCAGCGAGTGTGATTAAGGCCAGCCTGGGCTACAGGAGACCTTATCTAAAACATCTCAACAACAACAACAACAAAAAACCTGAACAAAACAAAAAACTAGGCCAAGGCTTGTAATCTGAGCACGTGAGAGGCTGAGCCAGGAGGATCAGAACCGAGAGATTAAGTCCCTCTTATCCTGTTAAAATCTGCCTCCAAACCCCTTCTGCACATTAACGAATTTCGCCTCTCGCGACAAGCTAATGAGGCGGATACTCTTGTAATAAAGAAATACTTATCCTCCAGAATCTCAACTCGACAGAAGTGCATGTGAACTTGTGAACGGCACACGGGACTAGCCACCTGCACCGGTCTACGCTGCTATGGCGAGCCCCCGAATAGACCCCTTCCCGCAATCCTTTTCGAAGAGGTTAGAGGTCCCGGCGACCCAGGCTTTCTCAGTGGGGTCCAACTTCCACTCCACTCGCAGTTTCCAACCCTCCCAGGGCTCCACCTCGAACATCCCAGCCCCCTCCGGCTACCCAGCCTCCCCAGGCCTCCAACTCTCCCGCGTCTGCATCTCGCGTCCCTCCTGCTCCCCAGCCCGCCCCCAGAACCCACCCCCAGCCTCCTTATCATCCCCCTCCCCCAAGCCGCCCATCCCTCCCCACTCCCTCTCCCTCCTCCAGACCTGGGTACCCCTCCCCGTGGCCCGCCCGTTCCTCGTACACTGGACTCCCCAGTCCCTCCTTTTCCCTCTAGCTCACCTCACTCTCCTGGGCGAGGCCCCCCAAACACCCTCACCTTCCCGCACATGCGCACAAAGCTCATCAGGACTCCATGCCCCAGCAGGCTTTGCGCCAAATTCACCCGTACCTCCCCGCCCCCACGTCCCCTCACTCCCTACACTGGGAATCGCTAATTCTACCCAACACCTCCCACCTCTCCCAACTCGAAACTACATCTCCCAAGAAGCATCGCGACAAAGCGGCTTTCCATTAGCCCTACTGTGATGACTCTCGTACGCTCTTGCTTCCCAAGCTAGTCATCCCTACCACCCCGAAAACTAGGTTTCTTAAAGTGTAAAGAAGGAAAACCTGCTTCTTATTGGCTCACGCTGGCGCAAACAGAGCGCTTCTGATTTTGGACTACATTTCCCAGATTCCACGTGGTATTTCCTCCCTCTACTACCCCTCACGAAACGCCCAGCCGGCGAACCTCAGGCTTACGCAGACGTGTCGGGGAGGGACAGGAGGAATCCGTGGTTTCCTTGTCGTGGAAACCGGTGAAGGCTGCACACTTGGGAGACCGGCCTCCGGGACCTTTAAACGCCGGCGGAGGAGGTCGTGGATATGCCAGAGTTCTCCTCAAATCAGCAGTGGGAGATCCGTCTCCTTGGCAACAGTCGCCCTCCCTCTCCAGTACTAGGTTAAAGGAAGGTTGAAGCTGGTCAGCGAAAACCGACCTCTGAGTATTAGTTCGCTCGTTCCGCACCATCCACTCTCTAGCCTCAGTTTCCCCTCTTGTGAATAGGGAGGAAAATATTACCTGTCAAACGGCGCTTGTATAGTCCCTTCGGACACTAAAACGTCCGTTTCCCTACCTCAGAAAAGGCAAGAAGGTTTTGGGTTTGCTCTTTGTAATGGATATGGGTGTTTTGCTGAATCGGTGCACCATGTGGTCGTAGTACCCACGGAGGCCAGAAGACGGCGTGGGACTCCCTTAGAACGGAATTACAGACGGTTGTGAGCCATCATGTGGGTGCTGGAAGTTGAATCCAGGTCTTTTAGAATAGCTTGTACTTCGTTATTAACCTCTTTGCCATCTCTCCAGCCCTATCCCCACCTCCCACCCCAACGCACCCACGCATGCACGCACACACCAAGAAGGT